TGAAGTGGTCAACACGCTCTACCACTTCATTCCCTATTTTTAAACTAGGCGTTGATGCAGTCTTGTAGAATCGTCTTACGTTTCACAGGAGCGAATCGCGTGTCAAACATTCGAAGATTGCTGCTCAAGATGTTCAGAAGACTTTGCATTTCGCCAGCGTCTTCACCCAGGTGGAATGACTATATCATCTGAATATTCTAAGTGAACGAGTTTATCCCCTGGTAACAGACAAGTCAATCCATGAGTCTCTGACGTCAGTTAGGGTTGAGTCCAGCAGTACATCTATGATGAAATTAAACAGAAATGGGGACATTGGGCATCCCTGACGGTCACCACTGGTTTTCATTACTTCATAAGACAACTCGAATTGCACCCTTAGATAAAGAAATATGGCAGTTGTTGGACGCCGGTAGGTATGCCTATGTTCCAGAATCTGCCGAAGGGTGAAGATATGATCGCTACATCTTCTTCCTGGTCTAAAGCCTGCCTGGTTGTCTCCTGTTTGTTTCCCTCATTCACCACTTAGTCTTCGCATGATTACTGAGCCTAAAAATTTAGATACCATATTAGTCAAGCTAATCCCCCTGTGATTATCACTGGAAGACTTGTCTCCCTTCTTGCATATCGGGATAATCAATGACTTACACCAGTCCGACTGGACTTTCTCTGATTCACAGACACTCCCTAATACCTTAGAGCAGATAGTAAACTGTCTCCACCGTCCTTAAACACTTCTAGAATCACACCATCAGGCCCCACTGCTTTGCCTCTTTTCAGACTAGTGACAGTTTTGAAACCTCAGTTAGGGATGCAGGACCTGTGTCTATATCCCATTCAGGGAATTGTTGGATGTTCAGTAGGTTAAGCATAGCTGTAGGCCAATTAAATTGTTCCTCAAAGTGTTCTTTCCAAGATTCCAGTGGTCTATCCTAAGAGCCAATTATGGCGTCATCTTTCTCAGAGACTGTTTCACTTATCATTTGGCTTTTACCACCTGTCTCCCTAATAAGCCTAAATAGTTTTCTGGTGTTACCAATCTCCGATGCCATTTCCATCTCCTTCGCTTTTGTCGCCCACCACTGTTCACGGTAGTTGCGAAGACTTTTATTAGTATGCGTTTAAATAGCTTTCGCTCCTCATCATATTCCGAAGTCAGTTTTCTTGGGCTAATCAGTTCCACAAGGTAGTAGGAATCCACTGACGACTACTAGCCTTTACAGGTGTGTCTACAGCTAACTGTATGTTGTGCCAGGCTTCCTCAAAATGGGTGTTGCTGTTGACCTCCAATACTAGTTTTATTATATCTTCCTTATATAAGGACTGTGTCTTGATCTAGTTCGGGGTGTTACCGCTTCGCTGGCAAGGAATTTTTACGTCTCTTTATTCGTATACACAAACGTGCGCAAACAAGAGCACGATCGGAGTCCACACACGTGTTCCAGAAGCAGCCGCAGCCTTCTACTGACCCTCCCCAACGATACCCTGTCGCTATGTGGTGTATATGAGTCCAACGTTGATTTGGTGATGGAGGTCGCCAGGTTAGGCAATTTCTCTCCCTGTACCTACAGTTAGTCCTGACTAGGAGCAGATGATTATCTGAACAGAACTTTAGAAGACGATCACCACTGTCGGTTCGTCGGCAGGGAACTCCAGACGTAGCACCTTCATACTTCTCAGTCTGGTATAACTTCCCTACTAGGGCATTGAAGTCGCCTGCTAAAACAACTATATCTGAGCGTCGTGCTTTTCGCAGCAAACAAGACAGTTTCAGGTAGAAGTCGTCCTTTAGTTCGTCCAAACTGCATTCGGTTGGGGCGTAAGCTGAGGCTATGAAAAGACAATGATGGCTAACGCCGTCCTTCCTTCTTCTAACGGACCCGTTCAGACGGACCGCACACATACGACTAACTTCTGGGATCCAGTCAAGGAGGGATTTTTCTGCCCCAACACTCAATGCCATCCATACTCCTGCGAGTCCTCGGGAACTAGCTGAGGAATCTCCTGACACCCTTAGGGTAAATCTTGCAGATCCACCTTGTTGGCCGGGTGGGGTTAAGCGAATGACCACATTCGGGTCTTGTATGCGTGTCTCCGGAACACAACAAACATCCATGGCTCGAGATGCCAGAGTTCTTTCTAGTGATGCCCGTTGTCCGGTTTGACAGAGGGTCCTGACGTTGAATGCTCCAATATGAAGTTGGTTTGGTGGCTTTAAGAGGCTGTCAGGCGTGTTTCTATGGCTCTCGTCGTTGTTTGTGGTCACAGAGTGAAGTGAAGATGACTCACTAGCCTGCACAATAGTATTAACAGCAGGAGGAAATCGAGATGATGAGGGTGACGGGGTAAACGAGAATGCTGATCAGCAGAGCTTCGTTTGCTTTTAGAAGTGTGTAGGCGGTTGCTACTTCCCGTCTGCCCACACTGTGAAAGTTGATTGATTCTTGGGGTACCTGAAACAGAAGGAGAATTAGTGTTGCTAACCGCAGAGCCCAAGGAACAACTGCTTGAGGCCGGTCACACACCCCCTGTATGGACTGATTCCGTACTGGTAATTTAATGTCGGTCACGGGCCACCGCAGGGAAAGTCAGGATGTACAAGTTTTGGGGTCGAACTTTTGTAACTCCCCCTCTTTAGATTGGAGAGACAGCATAGATTGCATGCTGGTCATCTAAGGGAAATACCTTACTGCTGTTACATTCCTCTTCCCCAGCAGTAATTCTTTGCCCACAAACCCTCAGCATAATGTTTTAAAAAAATCTTAAACTATGCCGGTAACTGCTCTTAGTCTAATCGCTATGTTGACAATCTTCCTGATATGGTAGGACCTGCAGGAACATTAGTCACAGCTAGTGTAGCTTGTTGGGTCATTGCGATGTGCAAGCCCGACCACCACGTCAATGTAGCAGCTACCGGTAACAAAAAGGCTTCACTCAGATTACGTTAACATTTTGAAAGCAATTCTGCACAGTGATGGCCTATAAATACAGCTCTTCCCTTGGAGCTACAAACAAATAATGTTACATATTAATATATAACATGGACCAACCTTGGGTTCTTTTCACCAAGTATTTCTAATAAATACGTCGACTTATCTTAAATAACTGGGATTTGCTTGTGTTTAAAGATGGTTATGGACACTAGCCAAAAATTTGAGTCAATTTAGCATTCGATTCATAAATGAAACTCTTGCAAATATACCTTGACATCTGATTGACAATCAAGAGATATTTTCATCTGGTCACTTATAAAGTGTGTGAACCAAATAGAACCCACAAAAACATGTACCACAAAATAATAGACTTTTGTTATTCCTATGCTGTGACTTTTTAGCAGGATGTGGCTTAATTATTCACTAAAACATTATTCATCAGGAAATAAACAATTTCGTTTATTACCTGGAAGTAAATTTTGTGATGTGTTTACCAATAAAATACATTTAAGATTCTCTTTTTAATTCTACAGTACTCCACCTAAAGGATCAGGCAAGACTTGAAGAGAATCTAGGTTGTAAGGCCTGAGTTATTCACTAAACTATGGAACTCAACTGTACAATTAAGTCTTTAAAAGTAGTATACAAGCTGTCAATGATGCTAACGAATAAGCTTCTTACTTCTAAAAGCCATGTGGTACTACTGAAACCATGCTATTTTATGTTGTGTGTTTTTTAATGAGCAAAGATTTATACAACCAGTGATGTGAAACAAGTATAAATCAATCAAGTATCAAAGAGTAACGAAACTAACAAATATCTTATATATAAAGGAATTATTTAACAAGAAAAAGGACACATCATCGACGAATAATCCATTTTGTCAACATCACAATTTTAAAGAGAAATAGTGATGCAAATGAGAAAAAAACAGATCACCTACTGCTCTATCACAGCAGGTTATTTACCTATAAATCTTGATTGATTATTCTTAATCCCTCTTTCTTCCTTCCATTGTTTCTACTATGCTAATGAGGTCACGCGGAAAACTTAACCGCCCCAAACAAGTTAGTAATCAATTTTTAAAGACGGTTGTATTGCTATTCATAATACATTCACGAGAATGAAGTTATCTTAACACAAATAAATACAGAAAAAATAGTTATAAAGTTTCAGTGAAGGGAGGAAATAGTTTTTCAGTACTAGAAAGACTATCAAGAGTTCCTGTATAAAAACAATCTCTAACAGTGACCATTGCTTAAGGTTATAATTATGTAACCAAAATGATTTCTTCAATGTTGCCTGACTGGGATAAAAGATGGTACAGTACTACTCGAGTGAATTAACTAGAAAAACTTGAGTGCTGTGATGCTTACCAACTCATGATTTCATTTTTAGTGCACCAAATAAATACAACACACTGAGGTGTACAGAGAAAAATTTTCAAAAAGCTGAACTGAATTAGCAGAATCAACTTCACCCTGGCAGTACGCCTGCCTGTAAGAATAGCACAAAAATTTTAATAAAATTTAACTACAAAATAACTTGTTGATATTGTCTAACTAACTAGTCCATTGAATTTAATAGGCGTTTTACAGTAAACAATTATCACCACTGTTATTTATTTCCTAAACTTAGAAGAGAAAATGTAATAACAACTAAAAAACAACAAATAATAAAATAATACAACGAGCACCAGAAAAATATGAATAAAATGGACAGTCTAAATATATCATAAAAATAATATACAAAATAAAAGATAAAATTACTGACCAAAATTACAACTCTGTAAAAAATATTACAACGTAACAGCACAACGAGCAGATTAAAAGATACGTTAAATAGAATACAATTGGTATACACAATGTGCGAAAACACAGGAATAAAAAGGATCACAATGATTTAGTGAAAGACAATAAATGCTTAGTACCAAAATCACATACATAGGCATAACAGTTGAAAAAATAACACTCAGAAGGACAGCACAACACCTAAATAAACAACACGAATCAGCTGACACCTATGAGGCAAATTGAACCAACATAATTTACACTCCATGGCAATTCCTACCTTTCGGGCTGAACTTTGGTATTTGACGGCTTTCTTAGTGTCAGCTTTGGCACTTTCTATGTAGTCTACAGCCTGTTCCACGTTGTATTCAATTCGGTCAATCATTTCACCCTAGACAAGCAAAAAATAGGAGAGAAGTTCATAAATACACTAGGCAAATATAATAGTGACAGTTTACTCAACACAGTACATATGTAAATAAAATACAATATCCTGATACTGTACAATAAATATACGATTACACCTTATTCAGCATACACTCGATATCATAACCAGGACCTTTACACAGAAAGAATTTAAACTGAATCGTTCAACTTTCGAATGCTATCCAGTTAAATGAATTAAAAATAAAAGCAGTGTTAAATATTTGACTTCACTGCAAGAAAAAAAAACGATTTTTAAGTTTGTAGATATCTGCTTATGGAATGACCAACTAAAGAACTTTTATGGTTCGATACCTTTAAGTCGTAAAAGAGCTCTCATCATTTCACTTGCTCACTGTATCAGAAGATTCTTTATCATTGATTACCTAGAAGAAGAGCTCTTACTTCTTAAAAATATCCTGACTGAAAATTTCTATCTGGTAGGTTTTACGGAGAACATGAAACCAAAGCCAAAAAGAGGAGAATGCACTTCAATTTCAAAGAAAATACTGTATATGAACATGAACTTCAGGGGGGACCTAGCAGCAGATATTTTAAAGAGAATCTCTAGTTCTCTAAAGAATACCTGCAGTAACAATATAAGTGATATTTTCTATCCGCCCAGTGTTTCTAAGCAATGTGAAGGACACACTCCCGCATATGACCACTCTAGTGTGTATATATCAATTCACATGCTCCTGCGAAGCTAAATACATAGGCAGTTCAATACGCGTTCTTTCAAAATTTGTTAGAGAACACTATCCAGAATAGCTGCAAAGTGGCGGTGGTGGTTCAGTTAGTAGCAATTTAATTGAACTTCTCGTCAGCACTTGTCACATCATCCCAACTGACTTATCGTTCAGCGACATTTACAAAGTGAACAAAAATCTAAATAAGACAGTGTGTTTCCAAATTTATTGTACCGCAGACGACCTCATCATAAGCATAGAAAAGTCAGAGTTGTGTTCATTTACCATGGATCTAGTTCAGTTTGACTCCTTATTTTTCTCTTATTTTCATTCCCCTCACTTTCTCAGTTTCAGTTATACAAACTATTATTTCAATCTGTTTCTATGCACAAACTTGTCTTCGTTAAAAGCTAATTTACATATTACGCAAATATTTTCTGATCCTATGTATCTTGTTCCTATGGCCCTTGTAATCTATATTTACATCTTCAAACTCATATCAAGTTGATTATTAAGCATCACTTTCAAACTTTCTTCGTTACTATGTGGAATTAAATAAAAATATATAATAACTTATGTATGAAAATACGACTATAGAGCTTTTGAGGATGAAGTCGTCGAAAAGATATCTTTTCTGAACTTCGTGTTATTTCCTCACCAGTATCAATAGATTTAGCTTCACAACCGTATCGATTAACTTTCCCTCCTTACCTAACATTATATGCCTAGAATCAAAATTACTCACCACACTATACGACTTAAAACGCGATTGTTATATACACATAGTTTGTATTGACGGTCATATCGAGAAGAAAGAACTCAAACATCAGTGGAAGAGTGTTATGACTTTGAAGTTATCAGTGTGGATCGAGGAGAGTACCAGTAGTGTTTTGCTTGTTCTCGTAACTATTAATGATCGGAGTGCTAAAAGGTGAGGGACCTACCTAAGGAATACTATCAACAATGAGAGGAAATCAAGAAGGCGGAGGTGGGCTACAGTCGCGAAAGGCTTTTGTTCCTATACAAGTGTGTGCGCTGTCATTACTTTCCGGCTACCCACGCAAATGAAATATCTGTTCGAGTAACGTGAAATGATTCACTTATGCCTTGTTTTCGTCAGAGAAACTGGGTTTTGATAAAAGTGATATTTTTATACTTTCTTGATTGCAGTGTGAATGGAAAGACAAAAGCTACAAGTCAACACGCTGTGTACATCATATACTTCCGCGTTCTTGAAGAACCATCGAGTCATATATTATTCTACGAGTTTGTCAATAACATGTTGAATTTCATTGCAGTAGTACGAAAAAAATGTGTAGGATTTAACCACTGTAGTAGAACATAATTCGACATTTGGTAAGTTTATTTCAAATGATACACACTGTTATTTAAAGTAAACTTATCTAATACAGGAATAGTACCAAAAAGTAATAAAAATGCCTGAAATCTACCTTTTTTCGAGAAAAATAGACGGAAACTTAATGATGAGAGCAGGTGGGAGAAAAGATATATATTTAGTCAAAAAGAACCAAGTGATTTATGCTTATAATGTAATTTAATGAAACAGCTAACCTGACTTTCAACAAGCATTGCCATGTCCATGAACATATCGTGTAACTCTTTTATACTCTTTTCAAGTTTCATGATATCTTGATGTCGAGCTTCAATATCTGCTAGCGACTGCTTAGCTTGCTGTGTATCTGTCATGATCTAAAATAAAAAATACTAAAATTAAACATCTGACAGTACAATTGGTAGTATACACAAGATATTTGTTTCATCGAATACTTCTTGTAGCAAGAGTAACTGGTTTATTGGAAACTCAAATAAGTATGTGATGCATCTTGACCTTAGTTGTACCTATTACACAAATTATTTTAAAATGGTGAACTAAAACGTGTGCGAACTGTCAGTTAGTGAATTTCCGTAAGAACAACAACACCAGTAAGTATCTTACACATGACTCACCCATAATTGTTTGGACAATAGTTTTAATTAGACACTGTTCATTGTTTAACGTCTGAAATTACTTCGCCTTTATTAGGAAGTATAGATTCTAATCAGACTGACACCACTGACTTCCCTAGTGTTTGGTTCACGAGCAAATGAAATTTGCCCACCGAGCACAAAATACTTTTATCAATGCTAAAATAAGTATTACTTCCTGAAGTAACAGTATTGTCGTGCTAGACGCAAATATGAATGAGGTCTCTTTATAATCTGTAAGTCACCCAGTCACTGTTCTACAACCATCAAACACATAGCAGACGGTCACATTTTTCAGATTTTCTACCGATCATGACTATTTTGGATTTCATCAAGAACTGACATCAGTTAAAGTCATTGAAAACCAAGGAGCACTAGACAGTTGTTTCGAGATTTTTCAACAGTGTACGCAGACGACCCCATAAGGAAACGAATGCAGCAAACTCCGGTTACGAGGTAAGCACGGCGACTATTACGTTTCTTTCGACTTTGTGTTTGGAGTTGAGGTTTACTGTTACAAGCAGTCAACGTCTTAGCAGAGTCATAATTTTTAACTCCAATAAATCTGCAGAGTTTCAGGAAACCGAGTAGGAAAGTTCCCCCTCTCAAATTATATGTTAAGTGAACCTCGACTAGATTACTAGCTCACTAGTATTCTAGCCGGTCCCAAGCCCGGATAAAGAGGGAGGGTTGGGGCGTGGTGCTAGCAACTCCACCCCCAAAACTTAACCAAATTGATGCTAAAACTTCAACGCACAAATATATTAAAAAATTCTACAAATACAAACAATGACCTTATTTTTCGCTGGAATTGGGGAAGTGAAATGACGCAGGCTGGTGAAAGCCTTCGCGAAGCCAGTCAGCCGATGTGTCTCCTTTCGATGAAAGCAAAAATAAGGATGGGGACGTGGAATATTCGTACAATGTACGAAGCTGGAAAGGCTGCCCAGGTAGCCTCAGAAATGAGGAGATATAAAATAGAAGTGTTGGGAATCTGCGAGAGCAGATGGAACGGATGCGGAAGGTGCCAACTGGAGAGACAGTAATCTACTCCGGTCACCCAGAGGACGATCACGAGCACTGCTGCTGCTGCTGGATTCAACATAGAACTTGGCACCGAAGTGCAGCAGTTCGAGTTGCCACGTTCCAAATAGCACACAAAGGTAGACAGGAAAATGAGAGAAGAGAATCAATAGAATTTAGATAAGTATAAGACTGAAACAGAATGAGTAATGGTAGAAAGGAATATGAAAGATTACAGAGACTGAATACATCTGCGCCATTGACAACGATTTTGAGCCATGTCACCTATTGTCCCCAGCCATTGATTCTTAGAGTCCCGAGGGCCCCAACCCGGAAGTCTGCATCTCCCTACCTGACTGACTCAGTTTAACTGTCAGGAATTTCATGGATTGATGCCATTTTTTTGTTTGGCCACCACTTACTCTTTTCCAACCTGCACCTATATCAGCTAGTAATGCCCGTCGGGGGAGACGATGGCTAGGCATGCGCAGCACGTGACCTAACCATCTCAATCTATGTAACTATATAGCCTCTTCGAGTGATTTTCCCTCTTTGCCCAACACTCTACGCCTAACGTCAACATTACTTACCTTATTATACCACCTAACGCGCGAAAGAGATCGTAAACATCTGTGGTCAAAAACAGACAATCTCTTCAAGTCTTCCGCTCTCAATGGCCACGTCTCACCGCCATAGAGAAGGATGGAGCGAGCACACCGGGGGAGTAGCCATCATGATGTCACCAACAACGGCTAAGGCTCTCATGCAGTGGGAACCAATCTCCTCCAGGATAATGACAGCCAGGTTCAACTCAAAACGAAGAAAAGGTTACAATCATTCAATGCTACGCGCCTACAAACGTCTCAGAACATGAGAAGAAGGAGGATTTCTACAGTCAACTACAAACAGTAATGGACAACATCCCAAAGAGCGATATCAAAATCCTGATAGGTGATATGAATGCGAAACTGGGAGGAGACAATACAGGAAGAGAACTCACCATGGGTCGTGAGGCCCTCGGTGAAATGAACGACAATGGTGAACTCTTCTCAGACTTCTGCGCCTTCAATGATTTGGTGATTGGTGGCAGTGTTCAAACACAGGGATATACACAAGGCGACAAGGATTTCACCAGATGGACACACCAAAAATCAGGTAGATTTCATTTCAATCTCAAGGAAGTGGAGACGGAGCCTACTGGACACCAGGTCGAGGAGAGGAGCAGATGTGAGTTCAGACCACTATCTAGTACAAGAGACTTTCAAGGTGAAGCTAAAAGCCTCGTGGATAGCTGGGGATAGGCCACAATGCAAGTTCAACACTCAAAAACTGAAGGACACAACCACAAAGGACACTTTCATTGCAACTGTCAGAGCAAAGCAGTAAACACCACGTGACATCACTGAGGAGTCATGCGTGGAAGACCATTGGAACTCTCTGAAGGTGATTTCCAACGAAACGTGTTCAACGGTTTTAGGAAGAAAGACGAAACAAGACAAGGAATGGCTCTCAACGGACACTTGGAAGCTAATAGAGGAGAGGAGAATGGTGAAAGAGAAAATGATTCAATGCAAAGATGGACAAGAGAAAGAGACGCTGAGCTCAACTTACACAGCACTGACAAAGAAGTGAAGAAGACAAAAGACAATTCTACGACAATCTGGCTACTGAAGCTGAGAAGGCAGCAGGCGAAATAGACCTGAGGACATTATATCAGATAACCAAGTCTCTATCTGGGAAGAGATCAACACAAGTGAAACCCATAAAAGACAGCCAAGGGAACCCAATTACCAAAGAAGAAAGACAGATTAAACAATGGGTGGAACACTTCAAAGGACTCTTGAACCAACCACCACCTGCAACCGGTCCAGAAATACCAACAACAGAACGTACACAACCGCAAGTTGACACCAATCCTCCAACGAAAGCTGAAGTCTTGAATGCAATCAAGCTTCTGAAAGCTGGAAAAGCAGCTGGACCAGATGGAATACCCCCGGAAGCACTGAAAGCGGACCCAGAAACGACAGCAGATATGCTGACTCCATTATTGCAAAAGGTCTGGAAGGAGGGAAAGGTGCCTACTGACTGGAGGAAAGGTTACCTCGTGAAACTACCAAAGAAGGGCGACTTAGGACTCTGCAAGAACTGGCGAGGAATCATGCTCCTGTCGACGCCAAGTAAAATTCTGAGTCGCATCATCCTGGAGAGAATAAAGGACGCACTGGATGCAGAACTGCGACCAGAACAAGCTGGGTTCAGGAAAGGCAAATCATGTTCTGACCAAATTGCAACTCTACGCATCATCATCGAACAAAGCATGGAATGGCAATCAAACCTCTACCTCAACTTCATAGACTTTGAGAAGGCCTTCGACAGCGTTGACCGCGAAGTAATTTGAAAACTACTCAAGTACTACGGCGTACCCCAAATATTCATCAACCTTATTCAACAGCTGTACGACAACGGCACATGTCAAGTGATCCACAACGGAAAACTCAGCGAGGCGTTTCGAGTAAACACAGGAGTCAGACAAGGGTGCTTATTATCACCAATGATATTCCTAATTGTGGTGGACTGGATTATGCGTCAGACAGTAGGAAACGAGAAGACAGGGATATCCTGGACCGATGTGAAGAACCTAGAAGACCTGGATTTCGCGGATGACTTGTGTTTGATGTCACACAAGATCGAAGATTTACAAGCGAAAACTGACAAACTGGTCGAAGAAGCAGCAAAGACAGGACTCCAGGTGAACACAGACAAGACGGAGGTTATGACAATAACCAAACAACAACAACAGCAGCAACATCCAGCGCCAATCACCATTAACGGGAGGGATTTGAAAGAGGTTACTTCTTTCACTTATCTAGGGAGCATTGTCTCAACTACAGGAGGAACGGACGAGGATGTCAAATCGAGAATCGGGAAGGCGAGAACCACATTCATCAACCTGAAACCAATCTGGAAATCTTCGTCACTCAGCATCAACAACAAAATTCGCATTTTCAATACAAACGTCAAGTCAGTTTTGCTATACGGATCAGAAACGTGGCGGGTCACAAAGAATATTTCCAACAGGTTGCAGACCTTTATCAACAGCTGTCTTCGCTCCATACTGAAGATCAGATGGCCGGAAAGAATCACCAACAAGAAACTATGGGAACAAACAAAACAAGAACCAATCGCTCAACAAATATGCAGGAGAAAGTGGAGATGGATTGGACACTCGCTGAGGAGGCCGTTGGGTGACATCGCGCGTCAGGCCCTCGAGTGGAACCCGAAAGGGAAGAGGCGAGTGGGACGTCCAAGGGTGACATGGAGGAGATCGTGTGAAGAAGAGTTGAAACAGTATGGAATAACATGGATGCAAGTAAAAAATACAGCAGAAGACAGAAGCAAGTCGAGGCGGGCAGTTGAAGCCCTATGTTCCACTAGGAACCCAAGGGAACAATAATAAAAATTATACATTGTTAAGTGAATGAATTATTCCGAAGTCACTTAGGCTTTCTGTCAATGGACAGAAAACTTTGGCATCACATTTAATTGCCTTTAGGGAGGACGTAAATTTCAAACCTTACCAATTTTCCCTATTGACAAAAAACTGATGTGTTGGGAACCAAGCATAAAAAGGCAATTTCTGCACTCATTAAACAAGTAACCACAACTGCCTGTTCAACAAACTTCATATTAGGGCATTGACATGATAATTTTAAAATCAACTACTTCTAGCCTCTTTAATAATTTTGATAGTTTTCATACAATATTATCAGAGACGCAATGGGAAGAAATGCCAAGATGATATAAAATGACTGATAAAGAGAATAAAGCTCAACGTTAGTTGTATGCAGTGGATTTGAAAGGTGAGATCTTTCAATTTAGATGGATATAGTCAGCGAAAACCATTACTAAGTTAACCACTAGGCTCCAAGATTTAATGGCGTGGACTGATGAAACAAAGGTCACTAAACTAATGTGCACAACCCATCATACCAAATAGGAACTGCAATCTAGTGTAGAAGACTACCGAATAACCTTCAATACTTCACTATCACGAAATTATATATGATGCAGCAGAGTCCCTATCATACCTGATTTGATGTTAACTATCTCCAAAACGATTATGTTTGAAAATGATAATGCTGCACAGAGAAAAAGTAAATTTACTGAAAGATAAACCTAAAACGTAATAACCAAAATCATTCTACATAACACTGAATGAATAAGCATATAAATTTAAGATGGTGAAAATCATACGGAATGATAATAGTAGTCTTCAAAATATCTTTTTTAAATCTCGGAGTTACATAAAGCTGTTTAAAAACAACTTATTAGCCGATAAGAGGTAAAATATTGACATGACAAACAAAACCAATTTGTAACCGTTGTTAAAACTTTCAGCGACCACTACATTATCTACTTTCAAAGGCTGTACTATCTCTAATTTCCCAAGCAAACATCACATAGCGTGACTCTACATTTTGATACGCAACCGCCTAAAAGCCGATTGAAGTATTGTCACGGATATCTTGAATTGTACAAATTATTACAAATTAAAGAACCAACTTTAAGGATATACACGTTTGCATATGATAATTCATCATAAATGACTAACTTCTTGTGTAAAAATTGCGGGATTTCCAGATTCCAACATATCCTCTAGCTCTTCGTTGGAAATTTTCCTTTCGGCTGGAATAAAAAACAAACATATTAGAGAAACTGTAATACAAAATATGAGTTTTTAAAAGGATACTTTTACACAGTCAACGAGATATTAGTGAGGTCACTTCAATTGATATCTCTGTGAAAAGATCACAAAGCACAAGTAACACCTCAGAAACATATATATATATATATATATATACATATATATATGAGCAACCTAGGTTATTACAAAAAGTATCATAATATGTTGATCACCACATCGAACGTGACAGAAAAAACTGCTGGAGTGAAACAATCAAATAACAAGTATTCACTATCGAAAAGCGTCTTCGTTACTTCGTATTCTTTCGGACAATAAAATGATCGAACAAGAAAACTGCGGGACAATCATCTCCCAATATACGAAACACGGTAATTTCTTGAGGTTTCAGACCTTATCCGGGGAGAAACGATAATACATAGGCTGTCCATCTTCGAAAACAACCGTCTCAGAGTTATCGTATAGAGTACATGTGAGAAATTCACACACACCAATATTTCGAAATAAAATCACATGAAGAGAGATAGCTTCCGCCTTATTTGAACACGCTCTCCTGCACGACAGGAACTATTTATATGATAACAACACCATTAGCAGCGATTCACACATCTCCTGAAATTCGCCTTAGTGGGGTAACGTAAAATAGATTTTTAACCTCGACTTTCAATAATGAGTTTTGTATTACCATGATGATACAGATGCTGACCTTTGACTGACTAACTTTTCACATAAGACTTTGCACAACAGTTCAGAGCTGCTTGATTCGCCACACTCTATATAGCATACAAAGGTAGGCAAAAGGAATTCAAAAGAACTTTAGTGAGCAGAAATGTACGGAAGAAAGAATAGTAAGTCCGAAACACATGAGGACTTAATGGATCTAGGAGATTACAAAGAGTGAAAGCATCTGCGCTATTAGGAACAGTCTCGAGTCATGTGACAAACAGTCCCCAGTCTTGGTTCTTGCCATTCCGAAGATCCCAACTAGACAGTCCACAACTCCCTACGTGGCTCAAACCAACTGTCACGGACTTCATGAATTGATGTCAGGTTTTGGTTCGACCATCCCCAACTCTTTTCCAAACTAATCCTAGGTCATCTAGCATTGTTTGTCGTGGAAGTCGGTGGCTCGGCATACATGTGTCACACATGTCCTAGCTATATCAATCAATGAAGCTTATCAGCCTCACTGACTGACTTGTCCTCCTTGCCTAACACTACACCAAACGGCAATATTACTCACCATATCAGGCTACTTAACACAAGAGATAGAACGAGAATATCTGGTCAAAGACAACTAGCCTTTCCATATCATCCACTTTCAACGGCCATGTCTCACTGCTGATTTTTGATGCAAGAATTATGAGGGAGTTCAATCTTATTCACATTCTCTTTAGGCTTTTGACGGTAAAGAGTGCATTGTATGTGAATGCACTAAACATTATCTGAAAACCCTTCCTTGGACAATCGCAATTATTTCCACGTTTTTGATACTATTTTAGGTGGTCATTCTAAATACTGTTAATTAAGAATATTTTTGTTTATTTTTAACTAATAAGCCGTGATAAAGATGCAAAGTTGGAAATGGAATATACTTCCATACAGATTCAGAACACTACTTTCTGTTAATTTGTTCATAGAGGGTAACGAATGAAAAGATGATCAAAATAAGCTGCAGAAGCTCGAAGTTTTTTCCCAGCACTTCTATTTGTCTAAAACTACATTCATCATCATTTTGGCACCCCCGATATACAAACATAGAAGGAACGGGAAAGCCTTTGGGGAGAAATCCCCTAATAAGGGCCAAGAACGTGGTAATTTACTCAAATACGCACAAATGACTAATCTGACCTCATCTCAACGGAAGAACGAACAACTTTACAGGATTCTATAATGTAAAGTGCAAAAGTAAAACTCTACTAACAGCTAGAACTAGACGTACAATTTCCCTAAAACGATGAATTACATGAAATACAAAATCTGATGAAATGCAGCGATACAGCATGAATTCTTTTGTTAAAATAAATAAAAGCGTCGTAGCCCAGAATCAATATAATATCTCCGAAAAACATCAACTCTCACTTTCTGTGCTACACAAATGAAAGATAAGTAGTTCGGAAGTAGCCAGCTGATCGACTTCCTTACAGCGGCATTGTAAGACCGCCTTCATATGTTAAAATACAGACACCAGTTGGACAAATTTTATAAAAGCTCTAATCTGCGCTCGACAGCTATCCCCATAAAATCACCAGCATCCAGCACAGTGCGCATCACTAGGTTACATGCTGTTTTTTATCTACTAGCAAAAATGTCGCAGAATTGTTGGCATTTTCAAATTTGTGCACTTGATAGGATGACCTACAATCGTTGTACGAAAACTAATAATACAGTACTTACTTACTTTACTTCGGCTATCTCCTACGGGAGGATGAGCCGGCTTCATGAACATCTCGAATCATCGCTGCCCAGGCGCGGCGATCTGATGAAAAAAATTCATGAAGTTTCATGGGAGTTTGGTACGAGTGATGACCCCAGAATCGCTCGGCCTTTTGTTTGAGAGTGCGGCTCTAGCCTTTACACAACCGAGTGTGACCTACAAGGCAGTAGGAGTGGAGTAGGGAGTCCACTATCCATTGGCAGCCAGTGACCGGAGTTCGTTTCATACGCCTTCTTGAATGGGGCCAGACATCCAGGACACCCAACAAGCCCTTTTTCCATACCTCTGCCGGTGAGCTCCAGTGAGCTTCATACGCCAGTCGTTGGAGATTTGGAATCAGGGTTTAGCCATCTCCCCTAGACTGTCATCCAATGGAAAGTCAACCCGGTGAAGAGCGCCGGGCACCCGCTTTTGCCCTCTCACTTTGGTGAAAAACACCTCCGCCACGTGAAGGCAGTGAGTAGGACTTCCTCAGGAGAGGCTATGTTAGACGCCCGGTCATATGGGAGCATTTCAAGAGGTGTGCGGACGGGTGGCCAACCCGCAGCGCAAGGCACCCACCCCCGACCATCGTGAGGCTTTGGAGGCAGTCGACCTCTTTAGGTGACATCAGACTTGCGAGACAGATGAAGACGGTCGTCTTGACTAAAAGGGTGAGCACGTACGGTGAAGGAACTGAGCAATGAATGCATTTTGGGTAAAATATTTACCATTCTTGATAAACAAATCAATGAAAGGACTTCAAGGTACCCAAAATACTACAAATAAAATAATCCGCAGCAGGATGGATGAATAACTGTGAGTAGTTCGGGACGTCACCAAAAAAGCAGCATAGAACTTAGGCTATAAAACAGTTAATGGAACTCGGCCGCAGTTCAGTTATACACGGATAAAATCAAATGCTTGTGGTCTTATGGTATGCGAAATCGGGAGAGTAGCAATAATAACATTACAAACTGGAAAAAAATTAAAGCTTGAGTTATCAATCATTGCAGAGTAGTGACGGTGCCCCATAGGCAACAGTGACTCAACATGATATATTTGAAGGTGGGAATTAGTGCATCACACGAAGGAGTGTTGAATTGAGTGATAATCCCATACAACCACCTAAGTACTGGCGAGTCTAACATAAATGGTTCACTTCTGAACAACATTCGATACAACCAAATGAATTGATCAGCATAACGTTTAAAGACTGATATCTGATCATATGTTACTCGTGGCGTAAAGGATAATTTAATGGCAAACACTTGAGATATGATAGAGTAGGAAACATTTTAGAAAGCGAGAGAAACTTGAGATAAAGTCACAGTTAAAGAATACCAGCCACCCGTACAGTTGAGGGAATTATTCGCACTAGTAATAACGAATTCGCTTCCTAAGTTTGTTCATCACCTTTATACTTCTTGTTAGGTTAAGTTAGATTAATTCAGAATACCTTTAGGGTTATAAAACGCATAACGGTTTGAATACGGTTAGAAGTTAGGGTGTGAAAGAAACATCTGTTTTTGCATTATATAACTTTATACACGGAATTTATTGACAAGCTTTTACTTGCTATTTCGTACATTCACCAGATAAAAAACAAAGATGTGCTTCGATGTGTGATGTATGTAAAATTTACGTAACTAACCTATTTCCATTTGCCTTTTAATTCGATTCTTGCAAGCATCCCGAAATGCCACTTGGGCCTTATTGTAATCAGTCATAACTTCGATAAAGTTTCGCGAAATTGTGGAATACTAGGCAGAATAAATTTAAAATATGAAAACTTACTTGTGTTTTTCTAATACGTAGGTCCGCCGAGGTCTTGTCGGAGTTCTCATCATACTCAATATTCATTTCCATTTCTACAAGATTCAGAGGAATAAACAACTCACGTTTCAGTTTCGCTCGTACTTTGTGGGCAATTGTTTTGATTTCTGCCATGGCATCTTCAAGCTGAGCCTTGGTAGCTATATGAGAACTATTAAAATAAAAAACGAGCTTTACCCTCATCTTGATTAGGAGATGAAAGAATATCACTATGTTTGTTCTTCACATCGTCAACTAGTGACTGCACGCGTTCTATCAGATTCCGTATTTCCTCAACTTGAGAAAAGAAATCATTCATATACTGTGACCCATCTAGGGGTAAAGATGTGTCGGGCAACTCGTTAGCATCTTCAGGTTGAGCCTATTTTCAACATAACACAAAATACAAAACTCAATTACCGCCCGGAGAGCGCCGATTAAATCTTTCGTCATTAAGCAGTCGCTCTAGGTATAAATTTCCCGCGTCCTTATAAACAAAAATCCTGTTTTTCCACGGGATATTTCTTTAAACTTAATTAGCTTTTTTTTGTCTCATCTAAATATGGACGGGCATTATTATGTGTTGGTTGAAAGCGGAATTATTGACTGTGGTGGTACGTTAGGTTAACGTGAGATGGATGTCATCGCTCAAGAGATTTCTAATACTCCTCCTGTTACATCTGCGTACATCGCAACATGTTTCATCTTGACTTTGGCAGTGGTAAGCATATTTATATTTTCCTATTGTCATCAACAGCAATTAAACCTCATCTCTCCCTTTCAATTGTACTTTAACCCTTCATTAATTGCGAATAACCTTCAGGTTCGTACCTTCAAATAATTCTAAAACCTTAATAATAGCTATGGAGGCTCGTGACATCCTTTTGCTTTTTTGGATCATTTAATTTTAGCTTTCTTTTTAACATAATATTCGCTTATCGTTATTGCCGAATGCTGGAGGAAACATGGTACAGCACTAAAACTGCTGACTTTATAATGATGTTTCTGTTTTGTGGAACCCTCACTGTGGTTAGCCAATATGAATTCTAATTCCTGTAGATCATAGCTCTGTTTGTTAACATGCTGTTTCTCAGTCATGTCCTGACAATGATGCTAGTGTACGTCTGGAGTCGAAGAAATCCTCATGTGAGACTTAATATTTTTGGTATCATAGAAGTGAACGCCCCTTATCTACCTTGGGTTTTCTTCGCTTTTTCATTTCTTTTGGGGAACAATATGATGGTGGATCTGATAGGTGAGATATATTTCAATCCTAAGTTCTTTAGGCATTGTTGTGGGTCATTTGTACTACTTTTTGGAAGATGTGTATCCAAATCAAACAAACGGTTTCAGGATACTGCGAACACCGCAATTCATGTAAGTCAAATTCTTAACTTTAAATCAAATTATATTTAATCCCATAGGAAATATTTGTTTGATAGGCGACGTGTAAATCATGGCTATGAGCAACTTCCAGAATTAGGAAGACCAGGAGGATTTGATTGGAACGACCAAGATTAACTATAAAATAGATGACTGTTATTCAGTTCTTTCTAAGTTTTATTCTCTGTTTACTTAAGTAATTGAAACGGTTGTGTAAACTTTCTTCGCATAACTTTATGTTACTTTATATAATATTTATCTATACCTATTTTATGTGCAGTTGTTATTGAGACTCATGACGAAACTGTATAAGTTTGTTGAGATGGTGTGGTATTGTTTCAGTTCACTGTCCAGCCAATTTCCTTACAATGTATAGTGAATTTATAGATCAAATATTTCTTTACGATGTGTATTACACGTTATTCTCAGAGGCAGCATCACCGTTTATCCTACTAAATCATATCATATGGTTTGAGCGGTATACTTGGTTTCGGTATGTGTCTTGTACTGGTTAGTAATTTGTCTCATTTCGCGTTACAGTTTCACAGACGAATTTTGTCATGAAATTCAGAGACTTATGATCATGAAAACAGTACTGTATTACTTTGTGCTGCATCAAATAAATAAACTAACATGGGACCACTATGTATTGCTGCTAACGCGTACCGGCTCTCAGAACTAGCCAGTAAATTGATTTGAAGCCTGTTTGCTCATTCCCACAATCCCTCATCAGTTACGCATACATCTGAGACAACGTTGACATCGCTATCTTCCGTGCATGCAGTAGTTTCATCGAGAAAAAATTCACTTATCCAGTCTAAACATGTTGAGGATCTGTCTGTCTGTTTCCGACATAAAACTTTGCACATATGTGCGGCAGTTCAAGTCGCCACACTCCATGGAGCACACAAAGCAAGAGAAGAAAGTAGGAGAAATGCATAATATAGATAGTAAACAGAGGTGTGAGACAAAAGGTATAGTAATAACGAAGAACAAAACAGCTCAATTGGAAATCATAAGTCACAAGGAGTGGATGCATCTGCGCCACTGAGAACGATTTTGAGACATGTCACCAATTGTTTCCAACCATTGGTTGGGTCACTTTTCACTATATGATTTCATCTTGCAACATGGGATTGGGCGACTTGTACATATGTTACTCCATCAGCCACTACATCATTTGCTATTCGCTAGCGCAGGAACTGGAAGCATTCGGTGGAGAGGTACTCAGTCTGTAAAATGACACTGTGGAACAACAGTTAGTTGTGTTAGGTGGGCACATATCGTCTTCTCACGAATCCCTGAATAGTGTCCGAGAGGACGTGCCACTCAACGGCTCGAGGCGTTATAAGTTACATACTCGAAGTCGACTGAGGTTATATTTAAGTTTTCTGCTTCCTAGAGATAATAGAGAGTAATGAAAGCCCCTTTGAGTTTATTTGATAAATATGTTTGCCTACTATCACACCTCGGTTATTTTATTTCTCTTTATATTGTTGTGGCGCATCTCTTAGCATCTATATTGTACTAAGGTTTTATTTGTGATTACTCTATGAAACAATGTGAATCAGTATTCATCGCCTGAAAACAGCTTATTGCAATGACCTTCATTTTCAGTAACCACTAGCTTAAAAGTTAATGTTGGCTAACATCAGTGTTAGGTAGACTTTCTAGTTTATTGGCGACAGATTTTGCAGTTTTGGTATATGATAATCCCTTTCAAACCCAGCTCCAATACACATACATTGAAAATGCAAAGTTTGACACTTCACTGAACTCGTCAATGACTGGTCTTTCCATAATGACCACAAAGATGTTAGAGACTAAGTAATTTTTTTAAAAAGAAAAAAGTTGTGAAAAGTAAGTCGTTTCCTATTTCAACTCAAATTAGTGTATGGACGGAAGAGGGTCACAATCTATTAATAGGAGCAGCACGATTCTTATCAGTCACTTTAAGTACGTGTGTTAGTAAAAGCGGTTAGGTTAATACGATGTGCGGTCAAGTCTCACATAACTCTCAAAGTATGTAAAAGATAGTCATATATTTTCTGGCCTCTTTTCGCACTTACCAGTAGAGTTACATTTACAACCTTCAGTCCCCACTTGGTTTCGAATTGTGTACTGTACGATTCTTTAGTGTGTCTTGACAAATAATTTGTTTTATGCTGAATGAACGTGTCGGGACTGTCAAATCTTGTTTTTATTTTGACTTAATTATCTCAGTTTAGGCAAATTATCGCCATAATTATTCAGTTCCAGTCATCTAAATCCTGGCAATATAAGTCTCTTAAGTGGTATCTCACTAAGCTTTTCTTAAATGTCCAGTGAAGACGTACCGAATATTTGTGAATTGTGGATCATGGCTGAGCACTCTCGCAATCTCTCTTACCTTTGTACTTTATGTTCATATTAAAAAAACTACATACACAACTACGAATAAACAGTTGTAGCTCCTTTCTAGGAATGTCAGTTTTAAAAGAAAAATCTCTTGCAGTGTATCAGCTAACAAACTTCGAAAGAATTTAAAAATATGAGTAAAATTGGGTTGTGAGGAAGAAAAGTGGTTTTACATGGTCAAGTTGTTTACGAAATCCTGTGTTCTTCACTTGTGTTTATCTAGTCTTCAGCTTGGACAGTGATAAGTTAATAGTTTGTGGTCACAGTAATTCCGTACGTCACCTTCATCATTAGGATAGGAAATACTCCTGAGCAATGCATTCGCAACTGAAAACCACAAATATGACTCACGTTAGTGCAGAAAAAATTAATGTGCATTGCGTTATGTGACATAAGGTTAGGTACCGATGCTATATGATGAGTACTAGCTCCATTTTGGGTCAAATACCCACTGACACTACCTAGATAATTACTCTGTATCAACAATATTGATAGGGCTTTGAATCAGTTGATTTGGATGAAGTTCACGGACTGGAACTTGAAGTACGATGTCATATCGTTATCCTTTTGAGTCGATTGGCCTTACATCCTGATGCGCTAACGTGCAAGTGGCTCTTTATGAGAGGAAATATCATTGGCCATCATATGCTGGGATGAAAGCATTGCTCCTATTGTGTAAGATATTTCGTACTTAAAAGCTCTGAAGAGGATATTCATCGTAGCATCCCTTACAGAACTGTTCGCCTGGGGATCATTAAATTCCAGTGAACTGAAGGGCGAAACCCTGCAGCTGACCAATTATATGTGCGTACCAGTTCACTTGCTACTGTGGAGCTGGTTATGTCCAGCGAGACGTGAGAACATTGCTTTGTTTGGCTACAAGGAACTGGAAGTAGATTTATAAGGAACTCAGTGACTGAACATCACGTCAGTATAGCTATTTAACCCCTATAATCTCTTGCTAAAAATGTATCTATATCTTGTCAAAATCACCAAATGTTCGTCACTTCATAGGTATATAAGTAGAAAGACTAGGAATTTGTATGCAGCGGGAACATGCCCAATCACTCCTTTAGTGGTCTTAATCTGTTCAAGTTAAACTATTCACAAGAATCAGCTTTGAAAGGACCTAATTCCTGCGTTTCACTACCCTCATTCAAGTTTATTTCAACAGAAATTCATTCCCTAGGCACTTTGTCTTATCACACAACTCTTTATTTGTAATTAAATACTCTATTGTAGTTGACTGGAGTTCATTAATCATAACAGCATTGCATTTAAAATGTAAAACTATATAAACGCGTTTGTACGATTGCAGTAAGTTAAGCCGCCGAAAATCGTCCTTTCACTGAATCAATTGTTTTCTTTGTTACCATGTTTTTCTTGACAGCTACTGTTCACATTTGTTTATTTCGTCTGATAACAGGAACCTATATAATGTTACAAGCCTGCAGAGTTTAGATAATTAGCCCCATGACAAGCTGGACAATGAATTAATATATGTGTAAAACTTGGGCACTGTGGTAGTAAGTAATTCCATATTAGTTTGTTTATTTGATATATCACACAGTGAAACAGTATTATTTACTGGATGACGTTTCGAACAAAATTTATTGTTCATAATCATATGAATTAATATCATAATTGATATGATTATGAACAATAAATTTTGTTCGAAACGTCATCCAGTAAATAATACTGTTTCACTGTGTGATATATCAAATAAACAAACTAATATGGACAATGAATTCTTAAACTATTTTTCAAGTAATTAGGCATATTTCCGGCATCCCGCAACTAACTCATTCTTATATTTGCTGGTCACCAATTTCAAACATTGTGAGACAGGCGAATTTTGGGAACACTACCACCTTGCATTTGTGAGTAATGCCTAACAGAATACTCACACGCATTGAGTATTGTGTTTTGATGATAGCTTGTTAAATCAATTTGTAAGTCCTTTTAACAGTTATCTAGGAAATTTCCATTCCTTATAAAAAGCTCGATTTTTTTCATAGTAGAAAATCCATAGGATTAGTTTCGTTCTGATGAAATTTTAAGACTTATGATTAAAACTGTAGGGACAATTCAGAATTAACATAAAATGGTTCATACCAGCGAGTATTGTAGAATAATAACCAAAACAGAGTTAGGAAATGCGCAGGGAAAATACGCAGAGCTTGACTCCCTGCAACTGGGCTCGAATATTACATTGCTGAAAACGAGGGAGTGGATGCTGACGTAAAGTAAACCGGTTCTTACACTTGTTTATCTCTTAGAATGTGTTACAGTATCGGCCTACTAAACTGAGGAAGAAAATTTCACAGTAAAATGATGAATTACGCAGTTAGAACAGATTTACGTTATCTGCTTCATTCGACATATAAATAGGCAGGTGAAACATCATATTATACAGTAAATTTTATTTACAAATATGCAATATGAGTAAACATATCCACTTTCCACCTTAGAGTATTCAGATAATCCATACTGTCATAGTTTAGACTAATGATTGTACAGCAGCGACAAAATATGCTTCTCAATAATACGTTGGCTAGCGCGAGATCCTCGCCGTATAGCGAAATCCAACGCTGTCCATCCATCCGCATTCATAACAGTGATATCAGCACCCCAATCCAATAACAAAGATACAATCGCGGCATTGTTGTTATAGGCTGAAAACATGAGTGCTGTGTTGCAGAGTTCGTCAGACACATCCACTGGACACCCGGCTTTAAGCA